CAGAGTGTGAGCAGGGAAGGGGGAGACAGAGAGGGAGACACAGAATCCGAAGCAAGGCTCCAGGCTGTGGGCTGTCAGCACAGAGCCCCACACGGGGCTCGAACCCACTGGCTGTGAGATCATGACCTGAGCCGAAGTTGGACACCCAACCGACTGAGCCACACAGACGCCCCCTGAATTCTAATCTATTAGGAAACATGGAGCTTTAGGCACATTAGGTAGCAACGAGGAAAGCGATGCAGGCCCCCTGTCCAGCATCAAACCGTGTTGACCCATCTTTTTCCCACCCTGCACCCAGTTCTGGGGACTGAGTCCTTCGGGCCCTTCTTCTGGCTCACGTTGTGCAGTGGGTGCCAGGCTTCCCTGGGGCTGGAACGAAGCATCCACATGGGCACATATCCCAGAGCTGAAGACAGAGGAGCCACAAGCACGAGACCAGAGAGGGGCACAAGCCTGGGGAGAGTTGGGAGAAATATTACTCCCAGGCTTGGGAATGCTCTCTCAGCACACACTCCTAGTCAAAGGAGGCGCTGAAACCACTCCCTGGGATTCCCCTCCTTGCTTTCTAGGGTTTTAAACCTCTTGACCCCTCCAGATAGACTAGGTCCCCTTACCATACTGCTCTTTTCTCTGCCAAATCCTTCAGAGACCCCACCACCACCCTTTCGTTAGCTCACCATGAATCCCCCATCATTGTCTGTCTCTAGTAGAGACATTCCGAGGTGCATATTCATAGCAGGATGAGATGAATTTCCCAGTGGATAGTCACCTGGTTGGAAGGGGGTGGAAGAGAATGAGACCATGGGGTCACACATGGGGTGCTTGGGTTTAGGGTGATTAGGAGAGAGGATGAGATCAGGATCAAGTCAAAGATAGGGAGTGTGTGGGATATGGGGGTAGGGTGAGGTATAAGGGGTCAAAGCTATTAGTGTAGCAGGTTAGGGGGTAGGAGTAGAAGAGCGAGGCATCTTCTTACCCAAGTGGCCCTTGGCACATGGGGCACTGTGGGAGCCCCCTATGGGGCAGCGATAAACGTCCCCCCTTCTGTCGCCTGAAGGCCCATCCCAGGGGGCACCCACCAGCATCCTGGGAGGAGGACACGAGTATCAGCATTGTGTGAACATGACCTTTGAGACAGGCTGGAGGGAAAATGCATGGGTGTAGCAAGCCTGGATCCCCAGCCACTTCTAACAGTGGCCTTGCCATCCGCCTTGCCTCCCCTTTAAGAGCTCTACCACAGTCCCAAACCCTCTGGTTTCTTCCTCACCATCGACGTCCACCCCCAACATGTTGCAAGACACTGTATCCAAATTCAGCCTCGGGTGGCCCTGAGAACACGCGTGGGCGGTGTACATCCAGGTTAAAGGGGGAGCATAGACCTGGGGGGGGGGGCGGCAGAAGCAGTCAGAGTGGTTAATGAATGCCCAGAGAGGCACAACCAGAAAGAAGCGCAAAGGGAATACTTATATCTCAGTCTATATCCCTGTTTCTTACTCAGAAGTTGTCCTGGCCTCTGTCAACATCATGTACTCAGAACTCCAAGCAAGGATGGTCTCCTTCCGGTATTTGGGTCCAGATGTCTAACCTGTGGCCCTCTGCCATGCTGGTGCACAGCTGTATTTCCATTCCCACCTCTGAAATCTCATTCACAGACATGTCTGGAAGGGTCAAGTTCCTCTTTTCCACATCATTCCCCCTACACATCCTCCCCCACAAGCTGTAAGAGTCAAAGAGGGAGAGGGCCTTTCTGAAGCCCAGAACAACTATGCCTTCCAGATTCTCCCCAAACCCAGGACTTCAGGGAGGACAAGAGGAGGCTAGGGAGTACTGCATGGCTAGGTCTCTCCTCTTTCTGTCTCTTTCTGACTCCCAGTGTCGTTGCCACACTCTCACTCTCTTTCTCCGGCGTCTAGGTCTCTGCTTGATTCCAGTTCTGAAAACCTCAGTGGTAATTAACTGGGTGGGGCTACTCGACTGCCCACACGTATGGTTTGCCATCCATCCTTACCAAGAGACCCGTCACCCCAAAGTTTCCCACAGCCCGCTTCTTTTCTAACTCACCCCCCCCAACTGCCCCCTGCATACCTGTATTTCTTAAATTTCAGCCCACTCTAAAGACCCTCCCCTGACTCATATCCTGGCTGATTCTTCCCTGCAACCCCAATCCCTTTAAAATCAGAGCTAGAATGGGGTGCCTGACTGGCTCAGTCAGTAGAGCAGGGTCGTGAGTTCAAGCCTCCCATTGGGCTCAGAGTTTACTTAAAAATAAAATAAAATAAATTTAAAGAAATCAGAGGTGGTATTTTAGGAAACAAAGATTACAGGGCACTGGTGAGGAAAAATTCCAGGCCTACAGTCCCTCCCATGGTCCTTCCCTGACTAGGTCTTGCTTTTTCCTTTCAAGCAACCCCCTCAGGCCACCCCTGTCACCCCCACCACCCATGGCTGTAAGCTCTGTCTCAAACCATGCTCCTTTTCAGAAAGGTGTTTTCTATGTGAGGTTTTTTTGTTTGTTTGTTTTTTTGTTTTTTTGCATCCAGGAAACTGGCAGAGCCATATGACCAGCAACTAACTCACTGGTTAGATAAACCAAGAGTTCTGACCACACATTTATGCCTCAGGCTCCAGAGACCACCACGGGTAGAAGGAGGTTGGCAGGAGGATAATAGGAATCAGATTAGCCACGTGGAAGGTCACATCATATTTCTTTTGGGACCACTTACTCTTGCAGGGCTTAAATATTTTAGCCAACTGGACCCAGAGCTGACACAAGGCCCTGCCAGTCTCAATACCGAAGCGCTCATAATGTGTGGGCCTAAGAAGGAATGCCCCCGCCCCCCGCCACCACATACACATACACACACGAAATGCAGAATGTGTTAACCTCTCACCCTAACCCCCAAAGATGTCAGCTCCAAAGGTCCCAATGCCAAACAACCCATTCCACTTCCACCGGAAACCAAGAAGTTAACCTCCCTCACCTGTCAGGAACATCACGGGCAAGAGCAGGTGAAGGATGTCGGCGAGTCCCATGCCTGGTTGTTCTCCGTGTGAGAAGTCCTCTGTGCCTCTGTCCCTCTCCTTTTCTGTTTTCTTTACTTTCCCTCCCATCCTGCCCCCTCCCACTGGCAGCTAAAAATAAAATTGGAAGGAATGGGAGGAGTGATGGTGGGGAACTCCGGGGAGCCCCAGACCAAGGAAAGGACCGAGCCATCTCAGCCTATTTCTCTGCCCTGGTGCTGCCCCCTGGAGGCATCGTGTCACTATCCAAAGAACACAATTCTGGACTTTCTGCCCTTTATTTTTCTTCCTTTTTCTTCTATCCTTTGTGGTTGCCAGGCAGTAATGCTTCCCTCGGGTTTGGAATAGACAGTAGGCATGGGAGGCAGATACTTTTTACTTCTTAACCTTATTTATCTCACCCCGGGAAATGGAAAATGAGAGAACTGGTAACAGCGATATCGTTTCCCCTCCCACCCAGGAGTCCCAACATGTGAACACAGCCAGCCCACAAACCAAACCTTGCCAGTCTCACTGTTTGTGACTCAGCCTATGTTGCCTTGTAGCATCACAGCTTTTGGAGGGACCAGGAACTATGAACCGGTACGGGGTATGCTTTATGGAACTGGCACAATTACTTTAATATTAGACCCTACCCTCTTCTCAACGAGGCTATAAACTTCTAAGGCTGGGACCGTGAAGTTTCCGAGCTTTTTGGATCTCTATCCCTTAGTATTATGCCCCGCATCGTGTAGGTGTTCAGTGAAAGTCTAGGTGAGGATGCCAGTGGCTAATCCCACAGAAAACCCAAACCACAGGAACAGGAATTAGAGGCCTCAGATGACAGAACACACAGGACCAGACCAAACATTGATGAGCAAACTGATCTTTAATGTGCTGACCTGAAAGGCCTGCTCTCCATTGTGGGCACAGGCCACAGCTATTTATACAGAATCACTGTACAGTATTTACAGCAAGATGCCAGACACAGCATCATTCTGGATAGGCAAAGAAGGGGTGGGAACAGGCTAGGGAACAAAGCCCTGAAATAAAAGTGTAAGTGGAAATCTGCAGGTGTGAGCAGAGGGAAGGGCCAAGTCATGAGGGAGGCCGGTGAGGTAGACATGAAGGAAGAACCATTGCACCATCTCTGGTGCGTAAGGGGAGAGTCCACTGGGACAAAAGTCTTTAAAATTATGATCTGGTGGCATTTGAAAGGGATAAAATCTGCTACAAGTCACTTTTGTGAGGAAAAAGATGAAGGCAGTTAGAACCTCACAGACCACACCTTCTACCTCCCCTTACCAAAAAAGAGTAATTCTGCTGCTGCTTAAAATGCCCAGGACAGCAAACGGAGAAGGTAAAAAAAAAAAAAAGAAAAAGAAAAAGATGTAGAGACGGAATCTTAAATAGACTCAGAAGAGACAAAGTAAAAGGGGTCAAGAGAGACACAGACATTGCACCGGAGGAGGAAAAAACAAAAACTCCGGAAGATCTGAACATCAGAATCACCCCGTTGACTTCATAAGTCACCTCTCCTCACCTCACCTTTCCCAAAGCTCCTCTCTCTTACCCCTGAATCCTGGGATTTTCACTTTAACTGAGGAGGAGAATTAGAATGAGACTGGTATACTGGGGACGATCTAAGATTGCATCTTACCAATTCAGATCCCCTCCTTATCTTGTACCAGAATATCAGGGCTTGAGTCTTAGCCAAGGGCAGATTAGGGTAAGAATAGACAAAATGGAGGACACAAGGCCACAAAGCCCCACAGTCCCAGGGCCACAGCGCCAGAGGCCTAGTTTGTCCAGTGGAATGAAGAGATCACAGGCATTTCTGACCACATCCAGCAGAAGTGGGGGATGACCTCGAAGGATCCGAGCCAAGAGTAGGACTCGGAGCTGGAGCTTGAGAGCCAGATGAGGCAAGCCTCCTCCTGGAGTCCCTGGACCCCCAGGTCCTGCATTTTCAATTCCTCCTGGGGCTCCTCCTCCAGACCCCTTCAGTCGCCGGCTACAAGCTGAAGACTCTTGTTCCATCAGTAGGCGAATCTCATAGGCATCACGGCTCAAGTTCATGATGAGGGAAAACAGATAGTACCTGGGATACACAGGCAAGAAGAGTCAGTAAGGGCAGACAGTAGCCACGAAGCCCAACAAATAGAACATGTAAACATTTTTTTCCCCCGTAATGCAAAGGGATTATACATTGGGACACCAGCAGTAAGTGCTATTAGCCACTATTAAGAATGTCTTCCCAGCTTTCTGTAACTAATCAGCGTTTATGCGTACCTTAAGATCCTGGCTTAACATCATGAGCATCATCAAACCATCCAAATTCAACCTCAAATCTCACTTGTCCACTTGGCAAGCCATTAGCACACACACATTTGACATGAACTATAATAATGCAAACGTTTTGAGAGAATGAGCTTCAGTTGTTTCAGAAACTCAGACACATTATAGATCTTTTAAATCCCATCCTTTTGTTAAAAAAACAAACAAAACAAAAACAAAAACGGAGGCCCAGAGGTGTTCAGCAACTTGCTAAATGTGTTAGATTATCAATTCCTTAAGAACAGTCGATGTCTGGGGCACCTGGCTGGCTCAGTCAGTAGAGCATACAACTCTTGATCTTGGGGTCGTGAGTCTCAGCCCTATGTTGGGCATAGAGATTACTTAGAAAACAAACACCGAACAGTCTGTTTTTGATTTTTAATCCACTATGACAACACTGGTCTATGCTCAATATAACTGCCCTACCTCTAAAACACATCCTGAATCCAACCCCATCTTTCTCCCTTACACGCTACCAGCACAGTCTCAACCATCGGCACCTCTTGCTTGAACTACTACTTTACTCATTTAACTGGTCTCTCCATGGCCACTCTTGCCCCCTGCCCCCAACAATCTAATTTCATCACTCCCCTTCTTAAAACTTTCCATGGTTTCCTTCCTGCCCCATTTAAGATGAACTCTAGACACCTTAGGCAAGCTTTCAGAACTCAACGTCTGACCCTGCCTCTTGAACAACATCTTGAATGTTTCTTGCCCTCAATCACTATGCTCCAACCATATTAGTTTCTTTCTATCTTTTGATCTCATCAAGCTTGTTCCTGTTTTAGGACCCTTATACTGCCTCATCCATCCACCCGGAATATTCTCCCTCCAAAATCTTCACCTGGCTAGTGCTTCCTTGCTCTTCAGGCCTGAGCTTAAATGGCACCTTTTCAGAGAGTTCCTCATTCTAAGGTAGCGAGCCTTTTACTCTCTACCACACGACCATAATTTAATTTCCTGCACAGCACTTAACTACTCATATTTTTATTTATTGTCTCTTTATGTTTGTCTCCTCCCATTACCATGTAAGCTCCACTGGAGCAGGGACTCCTTTTATCTTTACCCTTGTACCCTTGTCTAGACTAGTGCCTGGCACACAGTAAGAGCTCCATAAATATTTGTCGAATGAAATGCATAAACATGGCATATAAACTCTTCTAGGGAGTTGCTTTTCCATAACAGTCCAGCCATGCCTTCACTCCCATCCTTCATACACTATAAGCCATGTAATAGCTGTAAATCACTGATAAACATGAGGAGAAAAGCAAGACATAAATGGAGATGGAAAGATGCTAACGTTATATAACACAACAAACAGAATCACAGGAAACAAAAATAAAAACAAATAAAATGATGTGTATACAGATAATTTTAATCCCAAATCATATTTCTCTCCACCTTCATTACCCGCCAGCTCCTTAGTCCAAGCCAACATCATCTCTTGGCCATATTAGGACATCTCCTCTTCTGCCCTACCGCAATCCACCTTCCACATTGCAGCAAGACAGATCTTCTTTAAACACAATTTGAATCATGTCACATCCCTGTTCGGAACCCATCGTACTTGGGATAAAATTTAAACAAAACGAAACCAAAGAATCCTACCCTTGCCTAAGAGGCCTTGCACGAATGATCTGGCCCCTGCATACATCTCCAGCTGAAACGTACGCCCTTCACTCGATACTGTTCATCATGCTGGCTTCCTTTCTATTTCTCTAATTCCACAAAATATGTCCTGGTTTAAGGACTTAGAATATGATATTTTCTGTTTGAGAAGGTCTTCCCTGCCACTGTTGGCTTTGTCTAACTTGTACTCAGACTTCAAGTCTAAACTAAAACATTACTCTCTCAAAGAGTTCTTCCTTAGCCTTTCAATTGAAATCGGCCCCCCTTGTTATATATCTCATAACACTCTGTACACTTCCACAAATATTGGGTTTGGTATTTGTCTTAATATGGCTCCCCCCACTAGACTAGGAGCATAAAGAGAGTGGGAACCATATGTACTTGCCTCTTTGCTTTATTCCTTAGCCCATAGGAAGCACCTCCTAAATATTTTTAGAATGAATGAATGAGCAGGCAGTGAAAGACATAATCTGTGGTATAGACAGAAGCACAATGAAATCAATATAGTATCTTAGGCATCATCATGGAGGAAAAATCTGCCTTCCATCTGCCTCCATTCACTATCCTCTGATAGTTTAAAATCTAAATGAAGACCGGATGCCAAGTGATCAAGACGTGTATATTCTAGGAAGACCCTGAAAGATCTTTCACAAAAGGCAAGGCAGGCAGTACAGGGAATACAAAAGGTCTTGTAGGATAAAAGGATATCAAACCTGAATGAACGCTGGGCCCACTTCTCCTGATCCACACGGGGAGCTAGTCCAGATTTTCCAGCCCACAGGACATTGTCACAGGCGAAGTACAAAGCTCGATTGAGGTGACTAACAGTGATGCAGAATCTCAGGACAACATCTGATAAGTGCACAGCTCGTTTGGCTGACTCAAGGGCATCTGCTGAGTTACCCAGTCGTAGAACTTGTGGGGATTAGCAAGGAAAAGCAAGGATTTGGAAGTAGAGGCAAAGAGAGAGTGAGGCACAGAGAAAGAGAAAAGAAGGTGAAAATGGAGGAAGTGATAGGAACAACATTTTTTTTTTTAAAGAGGAAAATCAGTTCAAAAAACTTTTTTCTTCAAATTTTCATCAACTCGTGTCCCAGTTTGGTGTTCTCAGACCTGCCCCATTCTCTCCAATCCTTCATTAGCCT